ATACATACAGAATAAAATTATTTTTAAGCAATCTTTATATCAAAGCTTTATAAGTCAAATCTTTTTATAATTAACTACTACTATAATATAACAATTCTTTTTTACTTTTAGAATTATTAATTTATCTTAGAATTAACTATATTTATTCATTTACAATATATAAAAGATTCAATAAATACAGGCAGTTCTAAATTATCAATAAAAAGGCATAATAATTTCTATTTTGCATTTGAATTATCTGCTAGATAAATATTACGCATTTCTACTTGAAATTTCTGATCTAAATTACTATTAAGCAACAATTCGTCATCACAATATTCAACACAATTTTCATAATCAATTTTTTTAATTTATTGAGAAATAATTGCGTTCAATTGAGTTTTACTTTCTTCAGTATTTAATTCTATAAACTTATCATTATTATCTTCCACATCATCATTATCACTTACTACTAAATTTTCTTCACCATTAGTTTGATAATCCTTCATAAATTCATTAGAATCATCAGAAACAATTAGAGTTGCGATATGAAGTCTTTTTACTTGTTGATCAGACTGAATAACTTCTTTAATTTTATGTTGATATAAAATTTCACTTCGAATTTGGCTCATTTCAAGAACTTAAATGTGCTAAAAAAAAAATTAGTTCAATTTAAACAAAATTTTATTTAATTTATATATATATATAATACAAACTGATAAATGGTTTCGTCTAATAGTGTGAAAAAACTCATTAAAGACTACAAACATTCAACTGAAGCTGAATTTACACAAATTCTATGAATATGAATAGAAATCTTAGCTAGTTCTGGTCCAACTCCTATAGTTGATTTCCAAAAATCTAAAATATTTCCTTTAAATTGTAGAAAAGAATCATGATAATATGGATTATCTCCTCTTTTATAACTAACTAGCTTTGCTAAAATGCTTTTAGCTAGAGTTCCAAAAAAGATAAGATAATAATATTTTAGCTATTGACCAACATGTGTTCATGTTAAGTTATTTACAGTTGATCAAAAATTTGATAATTTATATGATGGATGAAGGATAATTGAAAGTAATAAAAGAGGCTGTTCCCAACTTTTTCATCTATTTTCTATTCTAAATACTATTTTTTCTACAAAATCTAAATCATGATATTCAGAAAAAATTTTCATAGTATA